AGTGTTTAATCTGAACTGTTGATTCAACATTATAAAATATGTGAATATTGGGTCTTGTTCGCACATTAACCTTTTCGTTCTCTTCTCTCGATTGCCTGTATATGTTATATGTAACCTTAGTTAGATCCAAGCTTGAGTACGCCTCGGTCGCTTGGAATTCTATTGAGACTACTGATGCCAAGAAACTGGAACGTATCCAGCAGAAGTTAGCATCCCTTTGCTACTATCGTTTCCTCCCCCAAGACCATTACAGCTATGCTGATGCGTTAGAGTTTTTAAAACTCCAGACCCTGCGTAAGAGAAGGCATTCTAGTGATGCACTGTTCCTTGCACAGGTTTACCGCGGCTTTAAATGCTGTCCTTCCCTTCTGGAAGCTGTCGTTCTCCGCGTCCCTGCTCGGAATCTGAGAGATTTTTCTATGTTCAGTGTTAGCCCTTTGATCAAAAACAGTCCTTCTGCTAGATGCGCATCAGCTGCTAATGTTGTCTGTAGGGATTTGGACATATTCGAGACGAAAATTGTCACACTTCTTCACATTCTATAATAGTATAATTTACTTAATTGATTCAAATTATTTTTACAAATATCCTAATATATTTAGTAGCAATTTTCTTGTGTAGTTACTTCCTATGTATCAATGTATTTTATATACTCCTTGTTTTACCTTTTATGCTTTTATTGTGTTTGTGAGTTTATTTCTGTGCTGTATCTGTAATTGGCCATCAGGCTGTTGATACAGCACACTAATAATAAAGAATCGAATTGAATATGCAAACGAATCTTAACACAGTTGCTGCAGTATAAAATAACCTTTACACTGTTACAGACAGAGATACCTAGGACCTGGAAGCCTTAATGAATCAGACATGTACTCTAGGTCGAATCGTGCCTATTAAATTGGTTATCTTGATTGTTTTTAAATAATTTTCTCAATGCAAATGCTGGAATATCTATCTAGACTCCACGAAGCAGAGTTCTTATTGAGAACCTGGTAGTCACACAGATAGTTGATGGAACCTTAAAGTTCAGTACTGTGTTCACAAGAGCCTGCCATGGGTCCCTACCATGAGCCAGATATATCCTGCTAATGCCCCTCCCCCAATTACCCTCGTTCCTTGACATCCAGTCTAATACTATCTATGTTTACATCTTATGAGCAGTTTCTTACCTTCAGGATTTCAAACTAAAATTTTGTATGCATTTCTTGGGTAAAAATATGTCACAGTCCCTGTCCATCCACTGCTGGACTAGTAACTTAAAATAAACCACAACACCTCCACCAAAATTGGTTGTGTTTAACATTCATCATTATCACCTCATTTCCACATTTTATAGGAGATAATTATATAGTAATATATTTCATATAAGATATAAACAGTTGAAATTATAGCAGTATTCTGCTAAGAACTGTGTCCCTTGTTGTTTCAATAAAAGATATGTAAAGCCATAACCATTTAACACCTGTGTCCAGAAGATGGCCATCTTCTGGGCTGTTGTGCCATGTAGTCATCACCCTGATGATGGAGGCAGCAAGGACCTCTGAAACCTCAGTAAATTTCTACCAGATTACTTGGCACAAAAACCTAGAAGACAGTCATCTTCAGACTCACCACTGTGAAAACCTCAAATCCTTCTTATTCTGTGTCCAGTCGAACTTGGTACTTTTTTGGGTGTAATGAACTAACAATGAAGACTTCTACTGTCACTGAAGTTTTATACCTTACATCTGGTGGCAGTATTTTATTTTCAAAAGGTTTATACATAAATTATAAAGCCTCATTTCCTTAACATGTAACTAATTTCAAACAACTGAGGCCATTTTCAGTAAAATACCCATAGGCTAGGACTACTAACAACAAATAATTTCCTTCACCACTGTTATGAAATGGTTTATTAAAGAGTGTACTATCAACTGCATGGGTTATATAGTGCTGAATGAGAAATGTCAAGATAAGAGTTGGAAAGGTTGTGTCAGGAAGTGATCATGACTTTACTAAGTTACTGTCTCAGCATCTGCACAGGTCCAAGTACATGACCTCAGGATCCAGCCCCATAAAATACATCATAGTCTTCACTGAGAGATGCATATGTTTAATTAAAACTAGGACTACAGAGAAGCTGCTGAATTACAAATCAGTGAATGAAACGCTATAAATTATTATTACTTTAAAAATACGTGGGCAATGATTAACCTCTGAAAGTGAAAATTATTTGATCCTTATTCTTGAAATCACAGGATCAGCAACAGTAAAAAGTTGTAAAAAATCTGTCACACAACTATGTGTAATCTATTTATATTCCATTTACAGACCTACACAAGTCATAATCAGAAATACAACAAAATATGGTAACTCAAAATTAAGAGTATAAAATTAATTTCAAGCTTTGTAGATGAAGCAAGGTGTTTTAAAATAAATTAGGTAACAATAACAATAAATATCAGGACTATGGGATAAGTTAAAATGATATTATTCATGACAGAATTAACTATGGCCTTTCCTCAATGGATGTCCCTGCATAAATCATAATAGACTTACTGTGTAGCTAGAACAGCAAAGAACACTTGACCACTGTATCCACAACTGCCACGCTTTACTGACTGACTGCTGCGCACTAAACATTATATTTATAGGTGATGCAAGCTCACAATGCACGCCTCCCCACCCATGGCATAGATCCCTCTCCCTCTTAAAGCTGCAGTTTCTCTCTGTCAGGTATGCACTGGGTTCAACAACGCCGTCAGTATTTCCTGCCAGCCATACAAAACGTACTAGGTTCATGTCCTCACTTACTCAACTAGGCGACCAGAATCATACAGTGCCTCTAGCATTTTTAGACATTTGTATAAACAAAGTTAAAGTTGTCTGTGTACTTAAGTATCATACCATGATTGTGTATGGCCAAATGGGAGTGAAAATTCCAGTACTCTAGACCTCATCAGGGACTGAGTTATGTGGCCACCTACATGCAATGACTGATTTAACTCCAGGAAGCAACTCTTAGTATTTATTTGACAGGAGACTGGGTCAGTCCTAGAGCCAATGAAAAAAGGTGGAAATTAAAAATATCTGCTCCTGTAATGTGTAAAATTAACATTTCTTAAACACCTCTCTTTCAGGCTGCATGCTAGAACTCTAAAATAACTTGGCTGATCTTGGATAAAATTTGATATGGGAAGTCAATAATAACATTTAATTCAGATCACTGCAGTATTTCCTTGGACACGTGTGATATTTCAAAGACCCCCTGTTTCCATATTCATATTAAAAGGAAGAGATACCTGCTCTGTGTGGACCTTTAGATAAAGCAAATCATTATTAGTAACATGGGAGGTAAAACATGGAGACATATTTTTCATTTCTAAAAATGTACTAAATAGGAATAGAATAAATAAAAGTCTATTGATGAGCTTAACCATAACATGGTCAATTGGCTTATCATCATCACAGGTGATGCACAAACAAGCAGAAACATGGCCATTGTGTTCCAAGATGGATTCAGGTATGGAAATTATCCATCCTCTACCCAACAGAAACCAAATTGTTACTGACGTAATAAATGCATGAATGTATTATATTAATACTGTGATTCTTGCTGCTCAACTAAACTTTCCAGGACAATTTGTAGCTTTATGACTGCATAGTCAGACTTGGCAGGAACAAAAGAAGTCAAAGCTAAACAATAAAATTGTGTATTTCTAAAGAAATTGGTTATGGTAAAGCGGGTTAAATCAAAATGGTTTAGGGCAGAGTCCTGTAGTTGGCTCTTGTTAGTGGTGTTGAATCGTTAGGTTTTAATACTAGAGTTACAATTTTCAATGTAAATTCTCATCTATTTTGAAAATTAGACATTCTAATGACATGAAAACGTGACATGAATACAAGTAAAAATACATTTCCCAAAATTTGCATAATACAACTGGATGTAACATCCTAAGGCTTGTAACATCAAAGTGGAATCATACTGATTGTCCTCTTTAAATGGCAATAACACTGCAAAGAAGGTGATATGGAGTTCATACCTGAGATGCAATTACATTAAGTTTTTTCTAGAAATGTCTAAAATATGCTTTGGTATGCTGAAGAGTGCGTTGTATTGTTGGCACAGTTTACAAACACAAGCACGTGATTGCTGGTGGAGTTTTCCCAGAGGCCTCGTGGGAAGAGAACTGCTCCCACACAGAATTTAAATATAGCTCACATCATGCTACTGTCTGGCTCTGTAACGTTGGCTGGCTCATGGCCTTTGTGTCATCACAAAAAATGTCACTGCAGCAATGTAATTAAAGAAGGCTATTTACACTTAAACTCCACTAAGCCTCCCATAAATCCCTGCATTTTAAAAATTTGAATTTCTTTTGTGAATCACAGTAAAAAAAAAGTGATGGTGGATCCACGGTTCCGGAGAATTTGACGTAAATACGTCTATACGCAAAGTACCACAGACCCATTTTAAGCGTAACTAATTCAAGTTAAATAAGCAATGTCTTAATCAAACTTATCTCAATTGTAAAGCATGTATAAAGGAAATATTTAGAATAAAGCCAATATATAAACTTCCTTTCCGTATAGACGTATTTACGTCAAATTCTCCGGAACCGTGATTCCACTGACAACTTTTTCCTTTAACTTTTTCGTTCCACTTTTTGCCGAATGACACTGACCCTAAAATATAGACGTATTTACGTCAAAAAAATTATGACATCTTGTCTGAGCAGATAAGTTCTAGTAATCACTCAACAGAAAACTTGCATAATTATGACTTCTAGGTATTAATACTAGCTAAATTTAACATAAACTGGAAGCGATTTTAAGTATAATTTTGGACACAAAACTGATTATACTTCTGAATTTACTTCACATAACAGACCATGAAACCTGAGTTAGATTTATATATTGGTCTTTGAACAGTTGATTGTAATTCAGTAGATCAGTAAATTTCCTGTCACAGAATATTTTAGTTGACCACAATTATCCGAAAACACCACCACTGGACTTACAACCACTTCAAATCTTCACAACCTACTGGACGAAAATATTATGCAGAACGAAATGCCGGACGAATTTTGGATGGTAATTCACTGCCTTATTTCGAATGAAATTTTTTATTTTAACACGGTTCAGAAATCTCAACACGGGTCGAAAAGAGGTAGAGCGCCATTGTTTTGTAGCCACATTTCATCTGGCCTAGGGGAACGTCGTCCATAAACAGCTGTAACAAAGGGCACGACACCTGCCGTAATGCGCAAACAAGTTACTGCGCAAGCGTTTGTACTGCGTGTAGTGGCACAAACCGGCTGAACGATATCCCAAGGTTTCGAAATTTTTCATGCAATCACGTGCTTTCGCGTGTCTATTTGTATCGCGTACATTGGTACTTGTGTAAAGCCAGGAGACGCAATAAAAATTAGCACAACATCAGAAAGCAGCAACACTTGAAAATCCTCAAAGTGGTTTCAGGAAGAGTGGCATTTGGCCAATCAACAAAGATCTGTCGAAATAACTCTTAACCTGTTAATTTAAAGAAAAATTATTCATAAAAGACAACGTCTGATATAAAGGATGAAATCGGTGGAATACATAGCACACATGGGGATACACAAACATAGATACACATTGTAACATTTCAAGTTCTCATGGGAGCAAATATAAAGATGTATGGGTTATTACACTGTAAAGTCTTATAGAAGTTTATCAGCATTTCAGAGGTGCTTCCTGCCTCATCATTAGGGCACCCTGATGAAGGCAGCAAATATATCTAAAATAATGGCAAACTACTACCGGACAACATAGTGCAGCAGCTCAGAAGACAGCCATCTAGATATATTTTGGCTGACACACTTGAAAAATGAGACCAGTTTGGAGATGTGGATGGATGGAAGAAATGTATTAAAAAAGGACCTTAGAAAAAATTGACAGTGGAACCACGGTTCCGGAGAATCTGACGTAAATACGTCTCTGTATCTAAATTATATTTAAGCAATAAATACAATGAAAGAAAGGTAGCTGAATGTAATGAAATGTAATGTCAAAATTATCTAGTCTACGACGCACTTCTTCTACAAGCGATTCACAGCTCAGATCTTTCCGAATAACGAAAGCGGATTGTTGACGGCAGTAATATAATACAACAATGCCGAGTAAACAGATGACGTTTCCTAGGTAACCAGTGACAAATTACTTATGTCCCTATAACAAGTACAATTACATGTGAAGTTCTAACTACATTAATTTCGAAGTTTGAAGGATTCAGATAAAAGAGTAATTTAAATTTGCGCAAAAAATAATCACGATCGCACAGAGACCAGAACGGGACACCTTCCGTGATGCCACTGCGCAACTCCTTCTGCGCATATACCCACTAACCTAACATAACCTAAAATATCCAGGACGGGGTATGCTGAGTCAGCAGAAATCGACGTCCTGCGCATCATTTTCACGAATATTGAAAGGATGGTCAGAAATTCCTGACATTTTGAATGTACGTCATGCCAAGTGTAAGTTAATAGAATTCATACTCCATTATGTCATAAATATTGTAGTAAAGCCGCACGGAGACAACAAAGTCGCGAGTTGGAGCACCGTGAAATCGGCCACGACCACTTCAAATGTGATTTATTTATGCATACACACGTTTGCCCATATTTACTTAGTAGTGTGTACATGTGCGGAAATACCCAACGAGACGCATAAATTTACAGAATTAAACCAAAACAATATTTAAGGTGATAAGACAGAGAGTGAAATCTTCAAAGCAAGAGCGCGGCACACTCGCACGTGAAGTTTGGCGCATAGAATAAATCACATCTAAATACACATTCTCAAAATAAACATAACTGAATGAGTTTATGTCCTTCAGCAATTTAATGCCCTCTCTGAGATTCTAAATTCGAAATTTTTCAGAAATTATTTACGACAGTTGGCAAGCGTGGAACACGAAGTACGTAAAACGACGTTCCTATCCAGAACAACGAGATGGCGAGCAGATACAACTTCATATATCGAACAATCTTCTACGTAGATACCCAAGGATATGCAGAACTCAAACACTGACGCAACCTACCGGATCGAGCACAGAACCATAGCTTCCGAAGCTCGATTGCAACGACCTCTATACAACCGCGCGCATCACTTCTTGAATCCCAGCATATCAATGTCGAGGGGCCGCACGTCATCGTCTGCCAGTATTGATTTTCTCACGGAGGTGAGCTGTTTTCAGTACGTGAGTGAAAGGTTGCTACTGATATTCGTTTCGAACTACACGATTTCGCAGGACCGTATTAAAGACACTTGAGGTGCTCAAAGAACAGAGATCTTCGGAAACACTAATATGCTGCGTTACGTCGGAAACTATCGTGTGCATCCAACAGTGTTTTTGAGTGAAGTAGGACGTTTCCAGTGACGTAAACAACATGGAGTGTTAGGTTTCCGTTAGTTATACGTAAATCTCATCAATCAAGCCTTCTTTGAAACACGGAAGCTATGAGTGTGTAAACATAAATAATGTGCATATATTTATATTCTCCATGACGAGAAATGTGATGGTTGTCGATATAAAGGATGAAATCGGTGGAATACATAGCACACATGGGGATACACAAACATAGATACACATTGTAACATTTCAAGTTCTCATGGGAGCAAATATAAAGATGTATGGGTTATTACACTGTAAAGTCTTATAGAAGTTTATCAGCATTTCAGAGGTGCTTCCTGCCTCATCATTAGGGCACCCTGATGAAGGCAGCAAATATATCTAAAATAATGGCAAACTACTACCGGACAACATAGTGCAGCAGCTCAGAAGACAGCCATCTAGATATATTTTGGCTGACACACTTGAAAAATGAGACCAGTTTGGAGATGTGGATGGATGGAAGAAATGTATTAAAAAAGGACCTTAGAAAAAATTGACAGTGGAACCACGGTTCCGGAGAATCTGACGTAAATACGTCTCTGTATCTAAATTATATTTAAGCAATAAATACAATGAAAGAAAGGTAGCTGAATGTAATGAAATGTAATGTCAAAATTATCTAGTCTACGACGCACTTCTTCTACAAGCGATTCACAGCTCAGATCTTTCCGAATAACGAAAGCGGATTGTTGACGGCAGTAATATAATACAACAATGCCGAGTAAACAGATGACGTTTCCTAGGTAACCAGTGACAAATTACTTATGTCCCTATAACAAGTACAATTACATGTGAAGTTCTAACTACATTAATTTCGAAGTTTGAAGGATTCAGATAAAAGAGTAATTTAAATTTGCGCAAAAAATAATCACGATCGCACAGAGACCAGAACGGGACACCTTCCGTGATGCCACTGCGCAACTCCTTCTGCGCATATACCCACTAACCTAACATAACCTAAAATATCCAGGACGGGGTATGCTGAGTCAGCAGAAATCGACGTCCTGCGCATCATTTTCACGAATATTGAAAGGATGGTCAGAAATTCCTGACATTTTGAATGTACGTCATGCCAAGTGTAAGTTAATAGAATTCATACTCCATTATGTCATAAATATTGTAGTAAAGCCGCACGGAGACAACAAAGTCGCGAGTTGGAGCACCGTGAAATCGGCCACGACCACTTCAAATGTGATTTATTTATGCATACACACGTTTGCCCATATTTACTTAGTAGTGTGTACATGTGCGGAAATACCCAACGAGACGCATAAATTTACAGAATTAAACCAAAACAATATTTAAGGTGATAAGACAGAGAGTGAAATCTGCAAAGCAAGAGCGCGGCACACTCGCACGTGATGTTTGGCGCATAGAATAAATCACATCTAAATTCGCATGCCCAAAATACACTTAACTGGTTAATTTTAGGTCCCTTCAACAATTTAATGCCCTACCTGAGATTCGAAATACGAAATTTGTCAGAAATCATTTACGACACTTGGCAAGCCTGGAAAACGACGTACGTAAAACGACATTCCAATCCAGGACAACGAGATGGCGAGGAGACACATCTTCAGATATCGAACAATCTTCTACGTAGATACCCAAGGACATGCAGAACTCAAACACTGGCGCAACCTACCGGATCGACCACAGAACCATAGTTTGCGACCCTCGACTGCAACCTCTATATAGCCGCGCGCATCACGTCTTGAATGCCAGCATATCAATGTCGAGGGGCCGCACGTCATCGTCTGCCAGTATTGATTTTCTCACGGAGCAGAGCGGTTTTCAGTTCATGAGTGAAAGTTGCTACTGATATTCGTTTCGAACTATACGATTTAGCAGGACCGTATTAAAGACACTTGAAGTGCTAAAAGAACACAGATCTTCGGAAACGCTAATATGATGCATTACATCGGACACTACCGTGTGCATCCAACAGTTATTTTGAGTGTAGTAGGACGTTTTCAGTGACGTAATCAACATGGAGTCGTATGTTTCCATCAGTGACACATAAATCTCAAAGATCAAGCAATCCTTGAAACACGGCAGCTTTGAGCGTGTAAACCTAAATATTATGCATACATTTATATTTTCCATGACTAGGAATGTGATGGTTGTAATTTCTGAATGAAGTGTAAAATAAAAGCATATAAATAATCTAATGATTTTTTCTGTGTCGACAACAGAAGTCTGCATACCAAACAACACGTCTGCGTCTAAAGTGACAGGGTCGCTCACGACGTCAACAGGTAACCTGTGCAAATTACTTATGTCCCTATAACAAGTACAATTACATGTAAAGTTTTAACTACATTAATTTCGAAATTTGAAGGATTCAAAAAAAGCAGTACAGTCAAACCTCTGTTCACGAACTTAATTCGTTCCTGAAGGTCGTTCGTAAACCGAAACAATTTTCCCCATAGTAAATAATGTAAGATGGATTAATCCGTTCCTAGACCCCAAATGATTGCTTATTTAAAATTTTACAACAGTACTTTGTGCACAAGTGCTTAACACAAAACGTATCCTTGTTATGGGATGCCAAAGAAGATTGTTTCTATTACGCCACGTAGCAATAAACACAAATGTGCAGGTAATACACACCATTCCGTGGACATAATCAAATCATGAGTGGCCTGTTAAACCTTTGTTTTTCTTAGGGGTAAGTGAACAAACTGAAGTCCAAACAACGTCTCAGATTATAATATATAAATTAATAAATAATTTCCGTCTGTAGATCTAAAAATACACACGGAAAGGTTCAATTAAAGCTGTAAATTTAAAGATGCAGTACGATCAATATTCATGGGACGAGAAGAGACGTAAGTAGACAATAATAAAATATAAAGCAAATTACAAAAGAAACTAAGATAACTGTCTTCTGGGTTGTAGCGCCGTGTAGTCTGGTAGAAATTTAACAACGTTTCAGAGGTCCTTGTCAGGTGTAAGCAGTGCCTGTGTTCAGTAGTTTGCTGTCCTGTATACGAAAGTGCCCATTAAATGTAGTTTTTCTGTGGTGTGTAAGAATATATTTTCTATCTCCAAACTGTAGGTTTTTGTATCTTAAAAATATGCCTTTCGATGGAAAAAACAAATGTTATTTCTAAATGAAGGTTTTGTTGTGTAGATAAGAACGGTGTATGTGATTAACCTCGCGTCCCAACTTCTCAGCACTGAAAATAGCCAAAGGAATACAAGATGAAGTAATGTTTAGCACGTACCAGTTAGTCGCTGAAAGCCAACTGGAAAAGTTTTTAATTATTCGTGTTTTTTCCGTCTAATCACAATTGTATATAAATAAAATTTATACATAAGATATTGAAATATCATTTACATATTTGGTACATCTTTGTCCTACATGTTTCAGTTACATTGAACCATCTTCAGGTGTAAAGTTAAAAGTTAAAAATTATAATATCATAAACTAAAACTTAATTACTGTTGTTGTGTAACTTCTGATGATGTTTACTTCAAAATTCATTGGAGTGAGGGTATATTTTGAAGTGATAGTGTTTCAATATTGGCCTGTAACGTAAATAATTTAAAATATTTTTTTTAAATATTACTGAACTTGAAAGAACGAGTATAGAAGACAAAATGCAATAAGGTAAAAATAAATAAATAAATAATGGAAGGTAAAATGTAAAAATGAACATACCGAGGAAGAGCTTAGATATGTCGCTCCAATGAATTTGGATGTAAATATCATCAGAAGTTACACAACAACAGTAATTAAGTTTTAGTTTATAAAATTATAATTTTTAACTTTTAACTTTACACCTGAAGATGGTTCAATGTAACCGAAACATGTAGTAAAAAGATGTACCAAATATGTAAATGGCGTGGATATGTCTTGAAGGTATTCAGAAGTACTAACGTATCCGAGGAGAACTGGATCAATACTGATCCCTTATAGAGAGAGTAGGTGAAAGGCGGTTGTTGGGGTTGGGGTCAAGCGTCTGAAGGACATTGAAGATGGGGTTATTAAGGTATATGTTATTATCGTTTAGGGAAATGTTTTGTTTAAATGTTTGTTGTATATAATATTTTGTACTATTTTTAATTTTATTTAGGGGTGCTGCAAGATATACGTGCCGTTTCTTTGCAACAGACAATTTATTAAAAATTATTACAGAATATTTTGTGACATTTTTATACAATAAAAGCCAATTTGACAAAATTTGTTTCAGGTAACACAGCAACATAAACCCTTACAAGTTTGTTATTCATTCTGCTTGACTTATATCTAGTTATTTCACTCTTTACATTTTGTTATGAACATGTATTCAACTGTCAGTTTTCTTTGAAATAATAAAAACTAAAATATATTTAATGTTTTAAAGAATTATTACAGAACTAATAGAAGTCTGTTAGGATAGCTAAAATCCTGTTTTTCAGCACTCAGAATTCTTAGCTTAATACTAAAAACTATACGCGTATATTGTAATATCTAATGGCTCTGTTCTTATATTAATTTATAAAATGTTTTTTCTTTCTTTCTTTCTTTCTTTAAGTTTCATGTGGTAAAGTATTTTGAAGTCAGCCACTCTTAATTTCGGTGCGTTTCCCTCATTCACATTCGCTGACTTGTCACAGGCGACGAAAAAAAATGGATCGCGTAAATTTATCCAGCTTAATTTGCAGCTTCTTTGGTAAATGAATTAACGTGATCTAATTTCTGAATGGGTGGGATGGGAGTATGGGAACTTCTTGCAGGTAACCTAGCCCTGTTCCGCGGGATCAAAGAATACGTGAAGATGATA